AGGGCGAATCAGGCATTGGGCTATAACAAGTGTAAAAATGAAATGACAGCTCTTTTATTCAGTCATCCTGATTCAGTCCTTTTAGAGTCGATTGTTATAAAAAGAATTTATTCAGTCTTTCATTCCTCTGTTAAAAATTCTTTATTCAGTCATCTTTATTCGCACACACAAACGCATACAAATTGAAGAGTGATAACGAATCAGCAGGAAGCCAAAACCATCCTAATTTTGCCACCTTATGTGTAGGATTCAATATTTAAGATTGAGTTGATTTTGAGAATATTACGTGTGTGTTGAGAGCTATTAACAGCCCTCTGGTAAAGTGAACTGCAACTCAACAAGAGCTGATAATAGTAGCAGTTCACTTAGAAAAGTGTCTTTAGATTCCGGTGTTTTAGTCCTGGGCTGAGTGATTTTATGAGGACCCAGAATTAGAGTGCTGAACTTTGCAGATCTGAGAAGCTGTCCAAATAATGTGCAAACCCTAACGAGAGAGCGGCTATGTTTAATAAACCCTGTTAATGCTCTGAATGGAACCTGAGTTTGGCTTCTTGATGGTGCTCACTTACTTTGGACAATAAGGTAAAGGAGTCCCTGCAGATTTTACTCTGCTAGTCGTTGCTGACTATAGGGAGCGGGGGGCTCATCTCTATTTCAGGACCATGGAGCCAGCGATATCTGAAGACATTTTCACAGTCACGTAGCCAGCATGACATCACGGAGCGCTGTTATCTTCCCACCGAAGTGGTACCTATTTATCTACTCGCATTTGCATGCTTTCAAACTACTAGGTTGGCAGGAGCTGGGGCGAGGACGGGAGCTCACCCCATCACATAGCACTCGGGTCTCGAACCTGTCAGCTTTCCAGTCGGAAGCCCAGCATCTTAACTGTTGAGCCACCACACCATCCGTCCTTTGGACAGTGCTGAGAAGAACATACTACAACCTCAGCAATTGTCTGTGAATTGAAGTCCAGCCAACCCTAAAGTTGCCAAAGTTAAAAAAACCCTGCTTCCATCCTCAAAAGAGAGTGCAAAAGGACTTTTTTCAAAGGATGTTTTGTTTCAGATGAAAGGAAGTCCATCTTTCTTATCTCTCACCTCTTGAAGTTCTACTGTATTCTCCTTTGCCTCCTGGAAGCAAACCATCCATGCCAGCATGGAAAAGGGAACGTGCTATGTGTCATGATCCACCGGCGGCCTGCAGAGCTGGCAGCAGAGTCGGACAGTGAGGAGGTTGGGGAGGAACATGGGCCAGTCCTGGAGTCTGAGGAAGGCTCGGACGATGGCTCTGCGTCGGAGGCAGAGAGGGGGCCAGGGCCAACGGGGAGTTATGTGCTGATTCTGGAGCTTCCAGAGTTGGACATCAGCGAGGTAGAGGAACAGGGAGAGCCTGTTCCCAGTACGTGCATGCAGAGAGCTGCCAGAAGTCAAGAACAGTTAAGACAAAAGGGACAACTCAGAAGTAGGTCTTGGAGATGATTGGCCCCTCCCATAAGACATAAAGGAGGAGCAAAGGCTCGTGAGCCTTTGCAGGAAGCAACTTGGTTCGTTCTGGTCGGTTTAAATTCTGAAGCTCTGTTTTGACTCTGTGCTGCATGTGGCCTTGCAAAGCTAATTGCCAATTACCGTATTTTGCGGAGTATAAGATGCACTTTCCCCCCCCCCAAAAAAAGAGGGTGAAAATCTGGGTGCGTCTTATACTCTGAATGTAGCCCTGCCCAGCTTCTCAAATGGAGGTTTCGGAGGCTGAAAAAAGCATCAGAAACGAAGCTTCAGGAAAGAAGTCCCCAAACAGAGCTTCAGGGGCTTTTTTTCTCTGTTTCGGAGGCTTTCAGAGGCAGGACAAAAAGCAAAAAAAAAACAAGGCACAGAGCTCACAACCAAGGAACCTGTTGCTAAAATTCACCTGAACAGCTGATTCGGGGTATTCTGGGAGGCCCATCCACCCGCCAATCAGCTTTTTTCTTATTTTCCTCCCCAAAAACTAAGGTGCGTCTTATACTCTGGTGCGTCTTATACTCCAAAAAATACGGTAGGTCTTTGGTGTCAAGGGAGATAAAGATGGGTGCTTATCAGCCTTATCCCAAAGGACTGTGGCAGACTTCTGTCGGACTCTTTACAAACTATTACATGCTGTGAATGAACAGAATTCACAGCCGTTGAAATAAAAAGAGGGTTTTTGGGACTATTCGTGTGCGTTTTACTGTCTCAGGAAGCCTAGCTCAGAACACTATGACTGTCTTGATGCATCATATCTAAGGCAGGTTTGATCTAAGCTACTTTCACATGAGCAGACAGGAACAGGATATAACCCCTGCCTGTTTCAATAAGGTTAATAAAATCCATGCAAAAGAAGCCCTTGGCATCATTTTGAAAATCACTTTCATCATCCTCTCTCTGCTTGGTTTCCTGCTTGCTCATCAACACAACAAGAAGGATCCTCTTAGCCTCACTGGATCTTTGCCGATTGTTGTTGCTTGTGTTGGGGCAGAGTTGAAAATCTTACACGGAGTTATAGTGCTGCAGTTGCAATTGCTGGCACCCTCCAACTCTAGAAATTGTGCTAATTAGCAGGATCGACCTCAGAGTGAATCAGGAAAGCCAGCTCGGAGTCGTGCTTGCTACGTGAGATTTGCAATATCGATGGAGCTATTAGCAGCCTGCTAAAGGTGCATGAAAAACTCCAAAGCACTTGAGGGCAGGACAAGAAGCAATGGGTGGAAGCTTGTTAAAAGAGACGTCCAGCCTGGAATAAGGAAAAATTTCCTGACAGAATGATTAATCGATGGAAGAGCTTGCCTTCCAGAAAGGTGGATGGTACATCATTGGAGGTTTTCAAAGAAAAAAAAAAGGACAATCATTTGTCTGGATGGTATAATGCATGGGTCCTCAAACTACGGCCTGTGGGCCACATGCGGCCTGTCGAAGCCATTAATCCGGCAAATTTAGAATTTCTAAATAGCGGGGTAGCCCTTTGGGTATTGCTTCAAGGGCTCCAATTACAATCGGGACAACACACAATTTCTTTTTCCACAGTCACTCAACTTCAATTTGCAAGTCCCGGTACTTTGTGATTTTTTCTTGCTGCTTATCTTCAATCCGTGCATCACCAGGTATTGCAATGTCAATGAACCATACTTCTTCTTATTATTATTATTATTATTATTATTATTATTATTATTATTATTATTCATATTTCTATGCCTCCCACTCTCCGAGGACTCTGGGTGGCTTACACCATAGACAGTATACCAAATAGCATATTGCCCCCAACAATCTGGGTCCTCATTTTACCCACCTCGGAAGGATGGAAGGCTGAGTCAACCTTGAGCCGGTGAGATTTGATCCGCTGATCTGCTAAAGTAGCAGTCAGCTGAAGTAGCTGCAGTACTGCACTCTAACCACTGCGCCACCTCGGCTCTTTAACCTTAACCACAGAACCCTCCACTATGGGTGCCCTTAAACCAGAAGTGTCAAACTTGATTTCATTGAGGGTTGTATCAGAGTTGTGTTTGACCTCAGGATGGTGGTGGTGGAGTGGGCATCGCCAGAGTCGGCATGCCCAGCTCGACATCACTCATGTTGGGGGCGCCTGTGGTGGCCTGAGTGCTGTTCCAGAGAAAACAGGCTCCCAAGTTCCATTTCAGCTGCGACGGCCTCCTGCAATCCTCTGCCAGCGAAAACAGAAAACGCAGGCCTCTTGAGCTCTGTTTTTTCTGACAGAGGCACTGCGGGGCCAGATATAAGAACCGTGCAGGCCGGATCCATCCTCGGGGCCTTGATTTTACTGCCCCCTGCCTTAAACCATCAGCCTGTCAGCCCAATCTACTTGACCTTTAGGAGAAAGGCAACTGGAGGAGGAAGAGGATGCAGAGAAGGGAAAGAAATTTGTGAAAACATTTGGGGGATGTGTCCCTGCAGTCAATAGAAGTCACATTCAGCTCATCTCGGGACCTTTTCATCTTTTTAGGGCACAGTGAATATCTAGAGGACTGCCACTTGTCTCTTCTTGTGTGGTATGAACACAAAACCGGTCTGCCAATTCATTTATCAGTAAAAAAAATTTTTTTTTAATTTCGAATTTATATACCGCACCTTCTCCTGAGGGACTCAGGGCGGTGTACAGCCAGATAGAAACATACAATACAAACATTAAAAACAATTAAAAAGATATATATTAATTTGGCCCCAATTTAAAATAACAAACCAATTAAAATATTTTAAAAATATATTAAGCCAGCCCGGCTTGCTGAAAAAAGAAAGTTTTAAGGGCACGGCGGAAGGCACCGAGGTCTTGGATTCTCCTTATCTCTGGGGGCAGCTGATTCCAGAGGGTAGGTGCCCCCACAGAGAAGGCCCTCCTTCTAAATGGGAAACTCAGGCATTCATGGCTTGGGGATTCCTTTTATAATCTTGTCTGCATCCTTTCTGAATCAATAGACTAAACACAAAGATAAAAAGTGTGTTTCAGTTTTCAAAAAAAAGAAAACAAAACAAAAAAGCCACCAAAAAAAAAAAAACAGTAATTGGGCATTAGAAATCCCTGGAGGGTTTCAAGAAAAGATTGGACATTTGTCTTGGAATGGTAGAGAGTTTCCTGCCTGCCAGAGCAGGGGGTTGGATCAGAAGACCTCCAAGGTCCCTTCCAACCAGGGGTGAAATGCTCCCGGTTCGGACCGGATCGCCCGATCCGGTAGCGATGGAGGTGGGTTGTTCGGAGAACCGGTAGCAAAAATCCCTGCCCGCCCCCCATTGCCCAGCTGAGCCGTGCAATCATCAGAGGCTTTTTTTGTTTTTACTTTTAAAAGGATTTTTTCTACAACCCCTTTTGCCAAAAAAAAAGTTTTAAAAAGAAAAAAAAAAAAAAAGCCTCTGATGATCGCACGGCTCAGCTGGGATCATCAGAGGCTTTTAAAAGCATTTTTTCTACAACCTCTTCGGTTGAAGAGGTTATAGAAAAAATGTTTTTAAAAGGGAAAAAAAGCCTCTGCTGATCAGGCAAGTCAGCTGGGATCGTCGGAGGCTTTAAAAGCATTTTTTTTACAACCTTTTCAGCAGAAGAAGTTGTAGAAAAAATGGCTTTAAAAGTTAAAAAAAAAAAAGTTGGCCACGCCCACTCAGTCATATTACCCCCCCCCCAACAAGCCACGCCCACAGAACCGGTAGTAACAAATTTTACATTTCACCACTGCTTCCAACTCTGTTATTTATATTCTGCGAATTTGTGGAGTATTGCTGTTAACGTCCTCACAGAGAAGTGTGCTGCGAAAAGGATCCCGCTGTCAGTCTTAGAAGATTTATCAGATTTGATAGAAGTTCACATCTTTGATCGACTTTCCTCTCAAGCAAGCATCTTCAACTTTGGAAGCCCAGGAAGCTAGCTAGGAGCGTGAAGTTTAACAAAATAAAATGGGTCCTTATGAATTAATGCTTTTAGAAATAGCGAATGTGTGAAAAGGGCATTTCTCGTAGGAAAAAAAAAATGTAGAAATGGCAGCATGACGTGTCCTTTTAAAAGATGGAGTTTTTTTTCCATTGGAAGGAAAGATAAGGTGTGAACTCATTCTCTGCGTAATACATGCTATTGTAGTGACATCTGGTGGCAAAAAAAGAACTAAGATGCGGAAAAATGAAAATAGCTGGTTGAAAGGCAGCATCCCCATGTTTTCCCGGCCCGATTTTCACTTTCCTGATTCAGCCATGCTCAGAACATGGCTTCACACATCACCTCAATCCACAATCCACAATTGCCATGGCATTTGGTCTTCCCATCTGTTGAATGGACTTCCTCAACTCCAAAATATCAAGATGATGGTCCCAAAGGTGCTTTTTGAAAAGGCAACTCGACTTTCTTTGTTTTGCCTTGAAAATGTTTCACTTCTCATCCAAGAAGCAAGGAAAAAAAAACAAAGTCCAGTTTTTAAAAAGCACCTTTGGGACACCCGTGATCTGGATGACTGAGAATCTCCATAGACGTATGAAGATGGCTATTGCCTCTACAAAGCCACATCTGGGTGTACCTTGAACTCATCTCTCTCTCTCTGTTGTGGTCCGCCAGCAGCCTGAGGAGCTGGCAGCAGAGTCGGACAGTGAGGAGATTGGGAGGAACATGGGCCAGTCCTGGGGGCTGGGGAAAGCTCAGACGAGGATTCTGTGTCGGAGGCAGAGAGGGAGATAGACAGCAGTGAGGCAGAGGAACAGCTGGAGCCTGTTCCCAGTGTGCGCATGCACAGAGCTGCCAGAAGACAAGAACAACTCAGAAAGCAGGGTCGACTTGGGAGTAAAGCCACACCTTGGAGATGATTGGCCCCTCCCATAGGAAACAAAAGAGGAGTGAACGGGGAGTGGGGTTTTGCAGGAAACAATTCGTTTGGTCAGTTGTTTCAAGAGTGGAAAGATCTGTCGGTGACTCCCAGAGACTCTGTGCCAAGTTTTACCTTGCCCCGCATTTGGAAACTATTGACGTGGCAGCTTTCCAAGCGAGATAAGGTCTGTGTTGATAAGTATTCCTCTGAAAAACTGTTTGGACAGGCCATGCTGACTGTGAATGAAAGGAATTCACAGTTGTGTAAATAAAAGGGGTTCTGCCGGGACCAAGACGCTGCTTCGTGCTTTTAAGGGAAGCCTAGATCAGAACAGTGCCCTTGCGTAGAAGGAAGAAATGTGAGCGTAGATCATTTGTGTGAGAGTATGCTGGCATGTCCAATGTGGGTGGCCCTGCTCAGTGCTGGCACACAACTCAACGAAAGCCTGCCTAGAACAAATGTGACACTCGTACTACAAACGCTTGCATTGTTTAAGTTGTAGGCAGAGTAAAAATGATATTTGTAATGTGGGGATACTAAATAAACCATTATACTTTCTATCATTAACCATTTGAAGTGCCTTCGACAAGAGACGTGCACGGAAATGCTTTTAAAAGCATAAAATAGGCAAGTGCCACATTCTCAGTGTCTAATTTTAAGCCTATTCCAATCCATAATATCGACACCTCCTCCTCCTCCTCCTCCTCCTCCTCCTCCTCCTCCTCCTCCTCCTGTTCTAAAAAGGAGCAAGTGCTGTGTGCATAGCATGAATCATAGACACATTCCCATCTGTACTATAAACATGTTGGAATAATTCTGCCAAATATTTCTTGTTGAATTTAGGCTGCTTTCCTGTGCACAAATCCCTCTGCTTGTTCCAATCCTGCCAACTGTTTCATTCAGCTAGTCCGCTCCTTCTTTTTTTCCCCCCCTACAAACCTACAGCTAAAATAACTTGCTTACCTTTTGTTTCCATGGCGGATTTCATCTTGTAATAAACCTTTGCTTCTGAAGATCTGAAAGATAATCGTCTGGTGGATTATCCAATTTTTCCTTCACAATCCTCCTCTACAATAAATCTATCCACCCATGTGTATGACATTCTGGAACTAAGCAACCTTTATGCTGGAAGGTGTGCAGAGACGATTAAAGTAAGTTGGATAGTCCATTATCTCCCAGAACTCTAAACCCACCAGAGACCACTGTCCTATGGTGACCTCATGAGAAGCAGCTGTCTAGAGCAGGGGTGTTAAACTTAAGGCCTGGGAGCCGGATCTGGCCCATGGGATGCTTAGATCTGGCCCACGGGGCTCCCCTGGAAACAAGGATCTGCCCGCAGAGCCTCTGCAAGTGAAAATGGAGCTCGTGAGGTCCGACTGTGGCTCCCCAAGCTCCGTTTTCACTGGCAGAAGGTTGCAGGAGGCTATCCCAGCCGAAAACGGAGCTCGGGAGCCCGTTTTCACTGGCAGAGCACTCGGGCCATCACAGGCCCCCCCCCAAGATGAGTGATGTCATGCTGGCCACACCCACCCTGGTGACACCCACCCCCCCTCTGAGGTCAGATACAACCCTGATGAGGCCCTCAATGAAATTGAGTTTGACACCCCTGACTTAGAGCATCTGATTAGGCACCGGACTAGGTGACTCAGTGTCTAAGACATTGAGCTTGTCGATCAGAAAGGTTGGCAGTTCGAATCCCTAGTACAGGTCTCCTGCGTGGGCAAGGGGGTTGGACTAGATGACCTCCAAGGCCCCTTCCAACTCTGTTATTGTGCACAATCTCAAATCCTGTCCTTATCTGGAAAAGAGCTATGAAAAACTGGTCTACTTACTGCCTCTACATTCTGCTGTACTCATCGACTCCGTTTTTAGCAGAACTATCTTCGGTTTGCTATTTTTTCCTTAGAAGGCCCTAAAAGAAAAAACAAGGAAGTCCAGTTGCCTCCAAAAATGAGCACCTTTGGGACAACAATGACCCGGATTTAATTTTTTTTAATTTTTAATTTGATTTATATGCCGCCCTTCTCCGGAGACTCAGGGCGGCTTACAATGCGTTAAGCAATAGCCTTCATACTTTTGTATATACCTGCTTAGTAGGGCTTTGCCCCCCCCCCACCATCGGTGTTCTTTTTTATACAAAGTCAGCTTATTGCCCCCATAATCCGGGTCCTCATTTTATCTACCTCGAAAGGATGGAAGGCTGAGTCAACCTTGACCCTGGTGAGATTTGAACTCGCAGTAATTGCAGACAGCTGGTGTTAATCACAATGCTTTCAGTCTGCTGAGCCACCAGACAGGAAATCTCTACAGACATTTAGCTATCCAATTTGGGATGTGTTGTGACCCAGGCCCAAATAGGTATTATCAGACACAAACAGTTCGAAACAAACAGACTTTATTAGAACAGCTGAGAATTAACTCATTCTCAGCGTAGTCCAAACTAATTCAAAACAAATTCTTTATAACACAATTCTTCAGCCTTATCACCAACCTTGGTCTAATTAGGCAACCTGCCAAAGGCTTTTCTTGGCAAAAGTTCAGAAGCAGAAGACGCCGACAAGAAACAAATCTATCAATGTTTTCCGACAAAGAGCCCAAGAGCCGTTGCTGGTCTTTTAAGCCTTATGGGAAAGGCCAATCATCTTTTGGCCCTACTCCCAAGTCATCCTTTTTGTTTTAGCTGCTCTTGCCTTCTGGCAGCTCTTCTCATGCGGAACAGGCTCCTCCTGTTCCTCTGCCTCTCTGCTGTCAGCCTCTGGAGGCTCCGGAGTCTGCACCTCACTCCCCGATGGCCCTGGCCCCATCTCTGCCTCGAATGCAGAGCCCTCATCCGGGCCTTCCCCAGCCTCCAGGACTGGCCCATGTTCTTCCTCAGCCTCCTCACTGTCCGACTCCGCTGACAGCTCCGCAAGCTGCTGGTGGACCACAACAGGATGAATACCCTTTGAATGGTGTGGGAGTAGGAATGGATTTCCAGAGGGGAAAAAATTGCAGACTACGGAAAACAGGAGCACCACTCAGGTGACTCTGAGGACACAGATAAACCTCCAAGTGCTTCAACGACCCTCTAAAAGGATGCAAATGACCATCTCTCTGCAAGGAGTATAAATCCTTTCATTCCCCACCATCCAGTCAGAGCTGAAGAAGTTTCTTGGATAAGCCAAACGTCTTGAAGGAAAAAAGAAAGTCCAGTTGCCTCCTGAAAAAGCACCTTTGGGACAACCACGTCCTGGATGACTGAGAATCTCTACAGACTTTTCAAAGACCCTACTTTCTACTTAAGTACTAGATACTAATACAGGGGTGAAATCTAAAACTTGTTACTACCAGTTCTGTGGGCATGGCTTGTGGGGGGGGGGGGTAATGTGACTGGGCGTGGCCGATTTTTTATTTTTTTTACTTTTAAAACCATTTTTTACATGTAAAACCATGTTAAAAAATGCTTTCAAAAGGCTCTGACGATCCCAGCTGAGTTGCCTGATCAACAGGCAACTCAGCTGGGATCGTCAGAGCTTGGATCGTCAGAGCTTGGCTCATCAGAGCCATTTAAAAGGAAAAAAAGGCTCTGATGATCGCACAGCTCAGCTGGGCATGGGGGGTGGGGGCAGGGATTTTTGCTACCGGTTCTCCGAACTGCCCGCCACCATCGCTACCTACTCGCCCGAGCCAGTCCGAACCGGGAGCATTTCACCCCTGTACTAATAGTTTTCTCATCATCACCGCTTGTCCAGACCATGGTTTTTCTATCAATGTTCTTACTGTATGTACCTAAAAAACTACAGCTTCATCTTTAGGATTTGAAACTCCCCAATGCTATTTTTCTGACTGTGACTTGAGTTTGGTCATCAATCTGAAGAGTACACCGTGCTCTGTCTTGTCACAAAAGCACACAACGAATCCCAGAGAATGAAAGGTCAACAATTTCATTTATTTTGGGGGGTTGTTCCAAAGCTTAAGGTTTGGGGAGCATACTGTGAGACTATTAACTTTTTGTTTCCCAGCCAAGATGTACAATGCAAACCGAGACTAGGAACTCAGTCAACTATGAAACAGGAACATCACCCACTCAATGTTTAATAATCACAATGTGTCACAAACCAGAAAAATAAAGGCACCGCGAGAAGGAGATCCATAGAGCAAATGCAAAATAGTAGGTGACTCAGACAATCAAATCTGGTCATATGCCTTATCGAACCTGCTGAGTTACTGAAACAATGAGATTCATAGAAAATCATCTTCTTGACCTCAAAGCTGTTAAATGTTTTCAGTTCTTAGACCCAAAGAACAGTGAGTCTTGGGCTCAGCGGTCTGATCATTATTTAGAACAAAGCAGCCATTTCAGGGCCCCCTCTGGGGCAGGAACATCGGAAAGGGAGAAGACAGGGTTGTACTGTATGTCCTTTCCTTCACTGAAGCAAGTTTATTGTAATCAGAGGCACAATCTTGTTGTCAGATTTTAAGAAAAGAGTCAACGGCCACTGTAGGAAAGGGAGATAGAGAAGGTAGCATCTTCTACTCATGCCAAGCTCAGCTTTGCTCTCTTGTTGCAGGTACCACCATCGTTTGGGTAGATGGTGGCACAGATCCAGATCTTCTAAACCAGGGGTGTCAAATTCAAGGTGCCTGGGTCACATCCGGCCTATGGGGTGCTTAGATCTGCCCCGTGGGGCCACCCTGGAAACAGTAAAGGACTGGCCCGTGGTGCCTCTGCCAGCAAAAACGGAGCCCGGGGTGCTGTGCGCAGCCTCTCCGGAACCTGTTTTCAGCCATGACGGCCTCCTGCAGCCCTCTGCCAGCGAAAACAGAGCTCGGGGGGACTCCGTTTTCACTGGCAGAGGGCTGCAGGAGGCCATTGCGGCCACAAACGGGGCCCAGGGGGTGCCACCAAGCTCCATTTTCTTTGGCAGAGGGCTGCAGGAGGCCGCCGCGGCTGAAAATGGAGCCTCGATGAGTGATGTCGAGCTGGCCACGCCCACCCTGGCCACGCCCCCGGTCTCCGAGGTTAAACACAACTGTGATGCGGCCCTCAATGAAATGGAGTTTGATACCCCTGTTCTAAACCAGCGATGGGCATGGAACTTTCCAGAAGCTTTTGAACTCCAGTGTTGATGAACCACAGTTAGCAAAGCCAATGATAAGATGTAATATGAATTGCAAACCGGGAATATCACTCCAAACTTGAATAACAGAATAACAGAGTTGGAAAGGACCTTGGAGGTCTTCTGGTCCAATCCCATTGAAGGACACCTAAATCTACGATACATTTTTTAAAAAATGCAGTAAAGCATTTTTTAGTACACTAGTAAAAGTGTAATCTAACTTAAATCTTCTAACCTTTCAGCATCTTGCTTGGTCTCTATCTACCCTGATGTCCATTTTGGTATCAAACAAGGAGCAATCTTCCCCCTTGTGTTTAGGCCAAAAGATTTGATTTTGTTTATCGGTTCTTGGGGACAAGTGGCTTGAGGGTTGTGTATTTTATAGTGCTTCATTGTGTTTTGTTTTGTTTTTTCATTTTGATTGTGAATATTTTATGTCAGACAGCAGAGGGCAGCATCTAGCTGACAAGAAAGAAAGAAAGAAAGAGAGAGAGAGAGGGAGAGAGAGAGAGAGAGAGAGAGAAAGAAAGAAAGAAAGAAAGAAAGAGAAAGAAAGAAAGAAAGAAAGAAAGAAAGAAGAAAGGAGAAAGGAGGGTGCGAGAGAGAAGAAGGAAGAAAGGAGGGAGAGAGAAAGAAGGGAGGGAGGGAAGGAGAGAGGAAGAGAAAGGAGGGTGACAGAAGAAGGAAGGAAGGAGAAAGAAGGGAGGGAGGGAGAAAGAAAGAGAAAGGAGGGTGAGAGAGAAGAAGGAAAGAAGGAAGGAGAGAGAAGGGAGGGAGAGAGAAAAAGAAGAGAAAGGAGGGCAAGAGAGAAGGAAGGAAGGAGAGAAGGGAGGGAGAGAGAGAGAATGAAAGAAGAGAAAGGAGGGCAAGAGAGAAGAAGGAAGGAAGGAGAGAGAAGGGAGGGAGGGAGGGAAAAAGAAAGAAGAGAAAGGAGGGTGAGAGAAAAGGAAGGGAGGGAGGGAGAAAGAAAGAAAGAAAGAAGAGAAAGGAGGGCAAGAAGGAAAGAAGGAGAGAGAGAAAGAAGGGAGGGAGGGAGAGAGAGAGAAAGAAAGAGGAGAAAGGAGGGTGAGAGAGAGAAGAAGGAAAGAAATAACGAGAGAGAGAAGGGAGAGAGAGAGAGAGAGAGAGAGAAAGAAAGAAAAAGAAAGAAAGAAAAAGAAAGAAAGAACACTCCTAGATAGGAGTTAGTCCGATTGGTACTTTGATGGGAAACCACCCTAAAACCCCATGATGGTAGACTGGATGAAGAAGCCAAAAACATTCCATTCTATTGCCAAGAAAGCCTCATAGACGCATTTATCTAATTCCTAGAAGCTGACGAAAGAGAATTTTCACCTGGATTTTTTTTTTTTTTTTTTACTTATGGAAGGAAGCCCAAGCACCTGGGCGCACACAGGATGTACAGCAGAGGAAGATATCAATGAAACATTTTTATTTTTTTTAATTTATTATTTAAATGTTATGCCTCCCATCTTCCTTATAAGGTGACTCTGAGCGAAATAGTCTGTTTGTTACTACAGATCAACCAACAAGCCTCAATTGCAAACCTTGTGGTTTGTTAAAATGACTACCCTATACTACATGCTTTCTGTTTCCAAATGGGTTTTTGCTTCCATATGCATGTGTGTATGTGTGTCTTTGTGTGTGTAGGCATGTGTAGTCTAAAAATATGTTAAGGCCCTAGAACTGTGATGGCAAACCTATCGCACGCGGGAGACCAGAAGTTGGCAAAAGGCCATTTTCAGCCTCCAGAGGGCCTCCGGGGGGCTGGGGAATGCCGTTTTCACCCTCCCCAGACTCCCAGAAAGGCTCT